GAGGCCAGAGCCCCCTCCCACCCACCAAGAGCGAAGTGAGCTGGATCATGGGTGTGGTGTAGGCCTCAAGGGGCTACTAATCTGTCTTTGAATTTCACTCCAGCACTGAGCTACATCCTCTGCCTTTTTTTAAAAGACTATTTTGAGCAGAACATGGTGGTGCATGCTTATAGCCCCAGCGCTTGGGAGGCTGAGGCAGGAAGATCACTGTGAGTTGGAGACCAAACAACTACATAAAGAGACCATCTCAAAAAACGATTTTTTTTTTTTTTTAAATTTTGAAAGCTCACCATGGTGGCATACACTGTAATCCTAGCACTTAGGGGGCTGAGGCAGGAAGATCATTGGGAGTTTGAGGCCATCCTCGGCTACAAAGTGAACTCAAGGCCAGCCTGAACTGCATGGCAAGACCCTATCTCAAAAAAGAAAGAAAAAAAAATGTGTAGATGGACCTTCTGCCCAGCTCGATCTTGGGCCCTGGGCTCAGGACTTCTTTTTTCTTCCAGATGGGGTCTTACTATGCAATTCAGGCTGGCCTTGAGCTCACCTGGTAGCCCAAGCTGGCTTCAAATTCGCAAGGATCCTCCTGCCTCAGCCTCCCAAGTGCTAGGATTGGTGTGGACCACCATGCTCCGTTCTCTTTTCTTTTCTTTTTTTTCTTCTCTTTTCTTTTCTGTTGATTGACTGATTCATTCATTCACTTTGTGGTTCTGAGTGTTCTACCCACTGAACTACATCACCAAATTATTATATTATTTCGACAGAGCCTCATTTAAGTCGCCCAGATTGGCCTAGAACTTTGATTCTCCTGCCTCAGCCTCCTGAGTAGCTGGACCTTTCTTCAGGCACGACACAGCCCTTTTTTCAGGGTTTCGTTAGGACGGGGTATAAACAGGACAAAGCCGGGCGTCCTGGGTCTCGTGGGTAGGAGCGCGAGGGGAGCGGGACGCGGGGAGCCGGTGTAGGGTCTGAAAGTGCCACTATGTGGCGGTCCCGCTTGCCGCGGGCCGAGAGCGCGCTGTTTCGGCCGCGCCAGACCCCGCGCTCCGCTGCCCCTCCTGGGCGGACACAAATAGTTTCTGGCTCTACAGCGCTGCCGGTTGCCTGGGGAACCTAACTCAATGGACTGACGTCACCGGACCGTTACATAGCAACCGGCCCAGACTCCCTGCCAGAGCGCGGAGGTTCCAGTCGCCATAGAGACGCAGGCGGGGCAGGGCGCAGGCCCCCCGCCCACCTCGCAGCCCGGGCCCTGGCGGAAGCGGCGCCGCCCGGCCGGGCCTGGCCTGCACCACCCAATTGTCCCGCCTCGGCCTCCGGGTGGCCGGGCGGTGGCCGGGCCCTGGCCGGAGAGGGCTGGAGAGGGCCCCATTGTGGCCCGGGTTTTTTGCAGATGGAGGCCTTTGTTCGCCTTCGCCCACCTGACTGCCCCATTTTCGCCCCAGCCGCCTAGGCTCCCCAGGCCCCAGCCTGGGTTCCTGTCCTGCTCGCCAGCAGCAGATGGCAGAATGAGGCGCGGCCATCCCCTCCCCTCTAGTCACCCAAGACCACTCTGCTTGGTGTGGGGGAAGAAGACCCCAGCATCGCTTCCCTCCTCCACCCCAGTGCCTTTGGCGCTGGTGCTGTGTGACCTTCGCCTCCACCGCCGCTTGGGGACAGGGACAGGGCATGGGGCTGCGGCCAGCCCGGGTGCCAGGGTGAAGGCGGTGGCACTGAGGGTTTGGTCTTAGGGTGTCTCCGTGCACCTCTGTCCACCACAGCCCGTGCTGGGTGTCAGGGTCCAGACCCATGCAAGGTGCCAGCACCCTGTCTGGGGCCGCGGCCACCGGCCACCGTCCCGCCCACCTCCTTCCAGGAGCCTTGCTTGTCCAGCTCAGGGCCAGGGTGGTGGCGGCCATCCTGGGAGGTTTCCCCTCACCAAAGACTGAGTTTTGAAAAACAGGGTTTTCGGGTGAATCCTGTGTCCTCTGTGGCTGGCATGTAAGATGCCCAGGTGCAGAGGGAGATCGCTGTGACCGGGGGCACCGAGATCTGGCTGCCTTGGTCCCGTCCAGACCTCACCGCTAGAGGAGGCTGTGGGCCAAGCTTCCCGGCCGAGGCCTCAGGACCCATCGCGGATCTGATCCCATGAGTCCTGGCCCGCGTCGCAAAGGGTGATATTTGCCGGACAGGAACCTTGGGATACAGCAGCGATGGTGCCTAGGGGGGCCAGGCTCCCTCTGGCCCCAGGCCCCCACCCCCAGCCTCTACCCCAGGAAGCACCAAGTGGAGGTGCCTGGAGCCTGAGGCTGCCCTACTCCCTGATGTATTCCTGAGGGGCCAGGCTCTGCGGGGAGATTTGTAATCTCATCCTCGTTCTCAGCACCTGAAAGTGCCTCCTGTAGCTACCTAAGAGCCTTGGCCCGGAGCCATCAAGAGCCCGAGGGGGCCAAAGCCTGCAGGAGAGGCTGCAGAAGACCCGGGAGGCCAGCCGTGGGGACAGAGTCCTGACAGCTTCGAGCTTTTTCTTAGACCTTCCCAGCACAGCCCAGCAAACGCATTTGTTTCTAAACTGCTTCACAATGAATTCTGCCATTTCCTTGTTTGTTTGTTGTTGTTTTGAGACAGAGTCTCACAGCGTAGCCTAGGCTGGCCTGGAACGCAGGGAGATCCGCCTGTCTCAGCCTCCGGAGTGCTGGGATTACAGGTGTGCGCCGCCACCTGCTCTTAGTACTGTAAAATCAGTGAGATCATCCTGGGGCCCTGCCCTCGTGACCTCGTTGGGTTCTAATTACTTCTCCACGCACCCTTACCGTACAGATTTAGGCAGTAAGTTTCTGACACAGCAACTTGGAGGAGAATACATCCAAGTTTTTAAAAATATGCATTGTTTGACAATAATGCCTTTGTCTGTGAGGCAAGAGGGAAGCTCCACCTTAGCGCTGAGGAAACTGAGGCTTGGACACATTAGGGTCCTTCTCAGGCGCCTGCGGCCTCTCCCGCGGGATCCGGGGGTTGGGCAGCTCGCTTCCAGGCGCAGGCGCAGTGGGCCCCGCCTCTGCCGGGACGCCCACCCGGGCTCCACCCCCGAAGCCCTGCGTCCAGGAATAGGGGCTGTGCTCGTCTTCCCGCCGTTGCTCCTGAGAGCTTCCTCGGAGGAGTTTGCAGCTGGAGATGGCCAGCAGTAGGGTCTCAGGTTGCATTCTGAGCCCGACTTCTCTCACTAGTCCCTCAGATCTCCCAGTGTGCGCCCTCAAATCTTGGGTCCGGGCGCTGCAGGTGCGGGGCAGTAGCGCCTTCCCTCCAGCAGGGGGCGCCTTCCGCAGCGGGCATGGGCATAGCTTCCTGTGCGTATTTATAGTCCTCGGAATAAAACCCAGGGCGTTCTACCTGCCAGGCAAGTGCTCCTCACCGAGCCGCACCTTAGCCCACATGCTCTACATTTTTAGGGCATGTGGAAGCCCAAGATATAGTGGACCTAAGAAATAAGACTACCTCGTACCCCGGAGAGGTCCTGGCTTTCATTTTGATATTTACATGCACTCCTGAGACTTCCTTCCCCTCTGCTCCCTGTGACATCCTTGGGGACCGCCCTTATTCACGAGCACCTCTGGGGACATTTTTCCCAGCTAGAACCTCCCCCCAGCCCCAGTCCGCCAAACCCAGGGTCCAGGCCCGAGTTACCAGGCGACTTAGATCCAGTAGCCACAGCACTGGCAAACATTTAGGTTACTGCTATTTTTTAAACCAATCTCAAGGTGGTCTCAAATTTCTAACTTTTCTGAGAAAACAAATACCCTTTGGGAAAAATATCTTTTTGTTTTGTTTTTTGAAACAGGGTCTCACTGTGTAATTCAGGCTGGCCTTGAACTCACTGTGTAACCCAGGCTGGTCTGGAGCTCATGGCGATCCCCCTGCCTCAGCCTCCCGAGTCCTGGGACTATACGTGTGTGCCACCACACCTGACTTTCTGGGTACATTTTAGATCTAAACCATGACAGAGTCTTGAGTACTTAGACTTGGCATGAGCCCCTGTGCTGGGCATAAGCTAGGTCCTGCTGGCAGGTGTGCCATCCGTGTGTCATAGCAGCCCCCACCACACAGGGGATATGAACCCGAGCTGGCTTGCTTCCACGACAGTGCATGAGCTGAGGGACCCAGCTGTGGCTCCACGGTGACTCCCCAGGCCCGAACGTGCGCTGGGTCTCCAATGCTCCGATCCGCCCCCCCACTTCCGCACCCGACAGCCGGGACCTGGTGCCGGGGAATCGCGTCTGTCACCTCCTTGCCCCCTTGGAGGAACTGGCCACAGTCGGTGCCTCCTTGCCCTCGCTTTGCTACCTTTCCCTGCCAGCCCTCAGGTCCCTGGGTCGGGTGCATCTCTCCGGCATCATCCCACGAGCCACCAGTGCCAGGCAGCTGTGGCTGCCCCAGCTCCGCCTGCCCCCTTGCCTTCACTCTTAGGACCGTCGCCAGTGTCCTTGGCCTGTGCCTCCCAGGTATGGGTCGTCTGTTCACGGTGGGAAACTGGGGCACAGGGGCGGGAAGGAAGCATAGTGTGAAGGCTGCCGGCTGCTGGCCCGGTACCCCTGCTGCGACCAGTTCTGGGCCAACCGTAGCCAGGCCAGGGGACAGGGACCTCAATTCTGTGGCCTCTGTGATTGGCGCAGGGCATAGCACAAAGCCAGCAGTCAGTGTCCCCCCAGCACTCTGCTGACAGAACCAGGGGAACAAGGGCCCCCTTTCCTAGAAGACTTGCACATGCCTGTAATCCCAGCACTCAGGAGGCTGAGGCAGGAGGATTGCCACAAATTCACGGTGGGCCTGGGCTACAAAGCAAGACCCTGTCTCAGAAAAAACAAACCAAAAACAAAACTGCAAATGAGACAGGGGGCTAAGGAGACTGGCTATCCTGACTCACTGGGTTTTTGTTGTTGTACTGAGCACTGAACCCAGGGTCTTCATCCCCAGCCTTTTTTTTTTTTTTTCTTTTTTCTTTCTGAGTCAGAGGTTCACTAAGTCATTAAGTCCCCAGGCTGGGCTCAAACTTGCCATCCTCCTGCCTCAGCCTCCCAAGTGCTGCAACAGTACAGGCAATGCATTCAAAAACTTTCACTGCCCCCTCCATCCCTGGGTCCCTCTCGCGTTCCCGAGGGCTGTCTCCCTGTGGACTGCTCTTCCTGTGCCCGCTGAACAGGACTCCCGAGGAGCCTTTGCGGGGGCGGCCTCTTCTCTCCTCTTCCCGAGTGCTGGGGGCGGAAGCGCCGGCGCTCAGAACACCACCGCTGGCTGGCTGCTGGTTTATTGCTTGGCATAGCAGGGCTGAGTGGGACGAGGCGACAGTCCTCAGGGGCCACTGGGCGCTCTACCCACCGCTCGGGGCTGCGGGGGCCCCGCGTGGGCAGAGGTGCCCGGCGAGGTGGCGCACGGCCGAGCGCAGGCCTTCCCGGGTGCTCTGCTCCACGGTCCCCAGCGTCTGGGCGATGGAGCGCAGGGCCCAGCCGGCGCCCGCCATTAGCCCGGGGAAGAAGCTGGCGCTGCCCAGGATGCTGGAGACGGAGCGCAGCCCGGGCCCCGCGGCGCTCAGCAGGTCGCTGGGGGAGGCGTGGCCGGTGGCCAGCAGGCCGAGCGCCAAGCCCATGCCCACGGTGGCCTCGGGCCACACCAGGACGTCGGCCAGCGGCCCGATGGCGCCCTCGCCCCCGCCCAGCAGGCTGGTCACCGACTGCATGTAGTCGTTCTCCTCGAGGGCCGCGTACTGGCTGGGGTCCAGCGGCCACGTCCTCAGGGCGCCCTGCGCCGGGCCCGGCGAGGCGGGCGCGGGGTCCTCTGCGCGGGGCCGGTCTGTCGCCCCCGAGGCTGGGGTCTCCGCGAACGGGGCCGGCGCTGGCCCTGCCTGCCCGTGGGCGACACTCGCTTCGTGCGGCGTCTCTTCCCGAGCCTGGGCGCCTCCTGGGGAAGCCGCGGTGCCCCGCGTGACCCCCGCGCCCTCGGTCAGCCTCTCCTGCCTGGGCTCCTGCGGCCCCAGAGGTGTGACCTCCTCCGGCCGCTCCCGGCCGCGGCCCCCAGCGGCTTCGCTCTTGTCCTTGTCCTCAGGGGCTGACAAGGGCTCGGGCCCTACATCCTGCTGCTCGGCGGACACTGCGGAGCCGGGGAGGGGGCCCTGGCTCTGGGAGCCTCCTGTCGGGGTGTCCGCGGACCTGTCGCCAGCCGTGGGAGGGCCGAGGGGGGGACTGCTGGTGGCCCCAGCCTCCCCCAGGGCCCTGTGGTCATCTGTGCCCTCTGCCACTCTGCCGGCTGGAGGGGCGGCCTGGCTGTGCCCAGGGGTCCTCGCACTGAGGTCACAGGGCTGCAGGCCGCAGTGACGTCACAGGCACAGGAGAGCGCGGCGATTTGGAGTCCAGCGTGCGGGTTTTTGTTTGCTTTTTTTTCCGGTACTGGGAATCGAACCCACGACCCTGCACTTGCCAGGCAGGCGCTGTGCCGCTGAGCTAGATCCCCAGCCCCTCAGCGTGCAGGTTGTAGGGAAGGAAAGACAGCTCTTTCCGCAAAGGAGAGAGGTGCGTATGCAGGCACGCGAGCAGCCTTGGTGCCTCCAGGAGTCGCGCTGGTGGTGACGCTGGTGAACGAGAAGAGGGTGCGGACGTTGGGTTGGGTCAGTGCTCGAGGAGGGCCTCCCCTGGTGGCTCTCCGGCCACGCCATGCGGCAGGATGGCTTTCCCAGCGGCAGTCGCAGCGCAGCTCCAGGCCCTGCCCATCGCCCTGCCCTGGGGCTGACCCTCTGACCCGGGACGGCCGCTCTCCACCTGCTCCTGCTCCTCCGGGCGGGCAGGGAAGGGCAGACAGCTGCGCCCCTGGGGTACTCCTGTAAACCCGGGGTGTTCGTCGCCCTGGAAAGAAGGGGCGGCCGGGGCACAGAGGGGAGGAGCCGGGGGGGACCCGGGGGGACCCGCCCACGGGCCGCGCCCCCTGGCGGCGCCCCAAACTCGATTCCGCGGGGATGAATCCATCCACCCGACAGCGCCCCACAGGCCATCGCCTTCCTCGCACAGGATTTTGGGGGCGCCCCCGAGGGAAACCCTAAAAGCAGGCGCCCGGCCGCCCCGTCACCTCGGCTCGGATCTCTTCTGCCTGCACGCGCTCCCGGGCGCTGACTCAGGACTAGCGACCGGTCTCCTTGAGGTCACGGCTGTGGCTCTGGGATTTGAACGCTGCCTGGCTTCAGCGCTCAGTCTCCAGCTCTCTTACACCAGGAGGGGTCCGAAAGGGACCGAGTGACAGTCCTGGGAAGGGTGCTGGTGGGTGGGAACAGAGCCCTGCCCGGCGACCCTCCTGCCTCGTCCTCAGTGCCAGCCCTGGCTTGGCAGCCCTGTCGCGGTGCGCGGAAGTCGTCCTCCCTGCGACTCTAGTGCTCCTGGCCGTTGGGTCCCCTCCCCCAGCCGGAAGCCCCTATGTGTCCCCAGTTCCCTACACCCTTCGGACCGACCCCCCTTAGCTGCCAGCTGAGACCCTCCAGAGGACCCTGTGTCCCCAGAGGCCACAGGGCCCTGGAGAGCTTGCTGGTGCAAAGGGCAGCTGTACAGCTGGCAGCTGTGAAGGAGCTGCGGAGAGGACTGCGGGGTGCTCGGCCCAGCTGCCTTTGTCCCTCACCCGCAGAACCCCTGCTTCTTCCGTTTCTTCTTCGGAGGCTGTTGGGCAGCTGCAAGAACACTTCCCACCTGTTGCAGGTAGGTGAGAACGCGAGGCTCTTCTGGCCAATGAAAAGCAAGCAGGGCGGGGCATGGTGGCTCAGGCCTGTAATCCCACCACTCAGGAGGCTGAGGCAGGAGGATTGTTGCGAGTTCCAGGCCAGCCTGGGCTACAATGTGAGTTCAAGGCCAGCCTGAACTGCACAGCGAGACCCTGCAAGCAGGATGAATTGCTGGGAACTTTACAAAGGGTCCTTCAAGGCACTAAGTATCTTCTGGTTCTCCCCTTTACTCATTCTATTAGAAAGGTGAAGCTCTGGCACGGTGGCGCACACGTGTCATCTCAGCACTTGGGAAGCTGAGGCAGGAGTTTAAGGCCAGCTTGGGCCATACAGTTCAAGGCCAGTCTGGACTACACATAGCAAGACGCTGTCTCAAAAACAAAACAAAACACATAAAACCTCTTATTAAAACAATTTTGAGGGGCTGGGGATTTAGCTCAGGCGGCAAAAGCACCTGCCTGGCAAGCGCAAGGTCCTGAGTTCGGTTCCCGGTACCGGAGAAAAACCAAAAAAA